AAAAAAGGAAAATGGGAAACACGTCAGGTTCTTGACTAGGAAAAACAAGTTTCGGTTTTTTGCTACTCATATCGGAATCCAACTGGACAGTGAAGTTTGGAACTGATCCTGTTAACACAGTCCAGAGTTTTATGCTTGCCCATGTGAAATAGCTCAACTCCACATTATATATTTAGGAGCAATGTCTAATGTAAGCTAGCCAATTACTAGAAACTTATGTGCTGGCAGACAATAAGAAAGATGAATAACTAGGGAAACAATGGGTGATTAGTAAAAAGACGAAAAATATCTCAGTGAATCGATCAAAAGGTGGAGTGTCAGATTTTTAAATTCAGTAGAAGAAGATTTTTAAGCCATATCTAAAACCATATCAAAGTGAATCCAGTGACAAGCCATGTTGTTTTTGTCATCATTTATATTTAGTGTATTGAAAATGCTAAGAAGCACTAAGCATGCACGTCCAAGGTCAAATTTTCGAACAGAATCTAGAATACTGTCGCATAATCAGACAGAAAGCATAATATCAGAATCAGGTTGTAGTGATGTGTTAAGCAACAGTGGCAAATCTTCAAGATCCGCTAGAACACTGCGACATAAATATCGACTAAACATATTGATTAAATTGAAGTGTAATCAATCTAAGCACTTCTTCAAGATTCAAGGAAACATTCATTTTCCAAATTAATTGAAAGTGAAAATAACGCACTCTGAGGCGGATAAACACGTCCAATCGTGAAGAATATCTCAAGCAGTCAACAAGAAGAAACCAAATAAATAGTTAACCACACATTCACAGCAATATGGCCTGTTCTCTTGACCAATGAATATGAGGAAATGTGGACAACATGAGAGACATCAAGGAATGACATCCATTAAATGCTATGTAAAAGGTCAAACGTCTACATCTAGAAAGCAACATCATAAAGCATTGAAAGGAAAATAAAGTAGAAGCACTTCAACTTTCCACTAAAATCCCTGTTTCTTTCAGCAAAGACAAATCCAAAGAAACACCCCCACACCATTTCCCCACCCCAAAACTATGTTAATTATTGCTCAACCAAATTAAAGAAATGCAATTTTTTCAGCCAGTAAAGATCCACGCACACACAACACTACCACATTTCCTCCTCTTTACTATACATAATCTGTTTGTCCTGCACTTGGTCAAGAAGAAGTTGCTAATATCTTAAAACAGTACTACATTTGTCCATAATCAAAAGATTCTCGTTTGATATAGAAACTAACGCATGAAGCCTAATAAATTTACAAGAACTAGAAAACAGTCATTTCTAATAAAAGCTAAAATCACAGTCAATCACAAAGCAAATTCGTAGTCTAGATTTAACAAAAGAAAAGGCAAAAATTCTCAATGAGGGTTTGACTACAAAAGAGACGAAACAATTTCGTAAATAACAGCTGAAAATTTTAAATACCCAGACCAGAACAGCAACAGTCAATTAAAGTTTGCATATCTAGAAAACAAAAAATCTCGTGACAAAGCTAAGATGAAATGGGATGAGGATAGCACTTACTAATAAACATCAGATAAAGCACAAATGCACAATTTTAAAACTAGCCATTCATTGAAAGATTTCCCATCTCCAGAAATCAGAAACTTTTACAGCCTATACAACTCTAGAATTCAAGAGAAAAACAAATAAATTACATTAATAAAGATTCAGAAAAACAGCACGCATACCTGCAATGAGTGGCAATAGATTTGAGCCCATCTGTGCTGAATCCATCACAACTCATCAAAGATAACGCCCTGAAGCCAGGAAATGCCGTGGCCAGGATCTCCAAGCTCTCATCGCTGACCGTCATCCTCTTGAGCCTCAATTCCTTCAGAAAGGGGTAGACTTTGGCAAACATGACAAGCCAATAATGAACATCCGCCCCCCAATTTTGAGGGACCAAATTGAAATCAGAAAACCTAGGTTTCCCTTTGAGCGTGACACTCGTGATTTTTGGAAACCTTGTTGCCACAATCTCTGGAGAGACCGAATAGCAATTGCCTATGAAAAGTTTTGTTCTTGTCCAGCGCTCAGCATTGTACCAATCCTTGCACACCAGTGAAACTGAACTTCTATCCTTGTCCGAATTTAGAAACGAGAGAACTTTTCCCAGGACATCATCTGGGAACGGAGAGGCTGACTGAGTTGACTCGGTGCTATCTGAGTTTGATGGCGAATCTTTGGATTTCATGGGGTTTGGATCCGTTTGCATTTTGGTTAAGAAGTTGATTAAGGTTCAGAAAAACTGCATCCTAATCATATTAAACAAAGTGCATTTCGTTCAAATACAAATTGAAAATGGAGAAGAATTATAACAAAGAAAAGAATTCTGGAAATATAATTTCCTCTGAAATAATCAATACTGTGGACCAAGAAATTCATATGAACAGATAACGACATTATTAAAAATAAACAAGACGAACAACCAAAATCTTGAGAGTGAATTTTGAGAAAGGGCGTTTTGCAGGAAATAAAATGCATCTTCTTCAAAAATATATCAGAAAAAGGCAAAATTATAGAATGTACTTACCTATATCCTATGCATGAACTGAAATCAGAAAAATCCATAATTATCCAAATCTGAAATCTTTGTACCATACAAACATAGCTAATTGAATGTATAGATTATTGGAAGGAGACGGAAACGAAATTAAAGAAGTTTTTACCGCTTTCTTGAATTGAATGATTGGAGAACGCAAAGAAGCTGACCACTTGCAGCATATTATATTATAACGATAAACAGAGCACCAAAATAATTTTACTATTTATTAATAAAAAGACATTAGTACGTAGGGAGGTAGGGATTTTAATTTACTTTACTTTAATTTTTTTATATTTATTTCTAATCATATATTTACACAATAAAATATTTTACTCGTAAACTCAAAATTTTTTATAC